AAACAAACTTAACCAACGTGTTGGAACACGGCACAAAACTTCATGGAATTCTGACTCGCAAAACTCAAAAAATGATTTCAACTCTTCTCATTTCTTCGCAGAATTCGAAAATTCGGCAAAAGCCTTCAGCACTACTTTTTCGATATCAAAAGATAACTGCTTTAATGCATTTTTTTGCGCTGTTGTGTCAAATGTGATTATTGCAATGAGCATTCGATCTTTGTCTCATTCTAACTTATGAAAAAAAAGACAAAACGCAATTCTCCTATTCTTATTCTCTTAGACTGTACAGCTTTAGATTACGTATCATTTCATCATAAAGCTTTTGAATAAAAAAAAGTCCACTATTTTGTGAAAAAAAAATAGTGAACATAATATGAAAAAAGTGGACTGTCTGCTCAAATAGTGGACACCTGGCAACCCTAATGATGATTTACATGTTATTAAATTAAACCAGAAGTTTTTTAGCAGCAGTTATCACCTGAACCTTGGTACAAAATATTTTAGGAGGATGCTTTTTTTTTAAGTGAAGGCTTTCATGGTCTATCTAGTCTATAGATCTCATCTGGAAATACTTGCCTTCTCCATAACAAGACAACTTACTCCTGAGAAGTTTGTGTGTTCTCATTGTTTGGCTTTGTTACCATGGCAGGATTTTTTTTTTAATTTTATGAGTATATAGCACAGACTCCTATGTCAGACTAGCTTTTGTGCGGGAAACCCTAATGTCTTTTATATCCACCAAAACTGGTCTTCAGAAGTTATGACTTGTCCTTAAATAATTACTGGTACAATGAATTCATAAATAATAGGATAAGAGATCATTGGTCGTTGTGGATTGTGACTGTGTCCTCTGTTGTGAGGGGACAGTGGACTTGGTCCTATGAATTATGTGTGAGATTCCCCACTTCCCTACCTTCTTCCCTGTCCTTTTAGGACCCTTAGGATATGGTCATGGCGAGCCACTATGACCAAACTGTACTCAGCAGCGGAGCTTCTTGGTCTGCAAGACTCCCCCCTCTCGCAGGCTTGGCCCTCCACTCTATCGAGGGTCTACCTCGATGACGGGCTTTGGAACCCCGAGAGGTGGCATGTTGCAAAGAGGGGGTTGCGGGGTTTTTTAAAATTGTCTATGTCTAACCTTTTAAGGGGTTTGGGGAGGGGGGAGGGGGGTGGTATTGGAATTAGGGGCGTGGGTTTGGGGGATAACCCACCAAGGGGAGGGTCGGGCCCGGCCACGATGCGCGGCGGGGCGGGTGGGGGACCCGGGGGCAATGGAGGGGGTCGAGCTTGTTCGGACTGTGTTTTTACCATCAGTACTGTGAGTGGGAGGGGTAGATATGGCGGGAGCAGGGGGCCATATCATGTTAAGGGAGCACGCACCCGCTGTCTCCAAGCAGTAGGGTGCTCCGGCCCCCAAGGCTCTACCCGTTTGCCAGGTTGCACAGATCCTCACGGCCCGGGCCTTCGTCTGATGTTGTGCAACGCCAGGTCCGTAGTAAATAAAGCCCCCCTCATCTGTGATCTTGTTCAGGAGGGGGGAGCGGACCTGGCGGGTATTACGGAGACCTGGTTGGGCCCGGAGGGAGGGGTCCCTCTGGTAGAAATGTGCCCACCAGGCTTCCGCGCATTCCATCAGCCGAGGTCACAAGGGAGGGGCGGGGGAGTAGCGGTTATTATTAGAGAAGGCCTTAGGCCCAGGGAGACTACTGTACCTCAGACAGCTGGTTGTGAGTCCCTCCTTGTGAAATGGGGCCATGGGGTTCAGATGGGTTTGCTGATCACGTACCTGGCTCCCTGCCGCGTGGCAGCAACCCTGCCTGAGCTACTCAACATTATTGCTGCGGTGGCGGTTGATACCCCCAGACTTATGGTCATGGGGGATTTCAACCTGCCGTCCGTGGGTGAGACGTCTGAGGTGGCTCGGGAGTTCATGGCTTCCATGACGGCCATGGATCTGACCCAACTAATTCATGGCCCTACGCACACTGGGGGAAACACACTGGACTTGCTTTTTGTCTCTGGACAGTGGTTGAGTGATCTTGAGATAGGGGATGTAGTCATCGAGCCCTTGTCATGGTCGGATCACTCTCTCCTTCGCCTTGACCTTCGTACCGCGACACCCCGCTGCAGGGAGGCGGAACCGATAAGATGGTACCGCCCCAGGCGCCTGATGGAACCCGATAGGTTCCAGACGGAGCTTGGGCCAATTCCTGAGGTTCTGGCTCACGCCTCGACTGGAGACCTAGTGGCCGCCTGGGATAGGGCGGCCGCTGGGGCCCTGGATCGAGTCGTGCCTTTGCGGCCTCTGACCCGGCGCGGATCTCGCCTGGCTCCTTGGTTTACCGAGGAGCTGAGGGAGATGAAGCGCCGGAAAAGATGCCTAGAGAGTAGTTGGAGAGCTAGTCTTTCTGAATCGGACCGGACACTGGTTAGATCCCATATTAGGACTTACCTAGTGGCGATAAAAGCAGCAAAATGTATGCATTTTGCTGCTCTTATTGCGTCATCAGATAATCGCCCGGCCGCCCTGTTTAGGGTGACCCGCTCCCTGCTCCACCAGGAAGCGCGGGAGGACCCCTTGGAGGGAAGAGCCGAGGACTTTGTTCAGTATCTGTATGACAAAATCACTCAGATTCGGGAAGGTCTGGACTCTGACTGGGTAGATCCAGCGAGAGTGACGGAGGCAGGTCTTGAGACTGTTATCTGGGATGAGTTTGATCCTGTGACCCCAGATGACGTGGACAGGATTCTGGGTAGATTGAACGTGACCACATGTTTGTTGGACCCGTGTCCCTCCTGGTTAGTGCTGGCTTCCCGGGAGGTGACGCGAGGCTGGCTCCAGGGGATTATAAATGCTTCATTGGGTGAGGGTGTCTTCCCCGCCGCCCTTAAGGAGGCGGTGGTGAGGCCCCTCCTCAAGAAGCCTTCCCTGGACCCGGCAATATTGGCTAATTATCGTCCAGTCTCCAACCTTCGTTTTGTGGCGAAGGTTGTTGAGAGTGTGGTTGCGGGACAGCTTCCCCAGTACCTGGATGAAGCGTCGTATCTGGATCCGTTCCAGTCGGGTTTCAGGCCTGGATACAGCACGGAAACGGCATTGGTCGCGTTGGTTGATGATCTCTGGAGGGCTCGGGACAGGGGCTGCTCCTCTGTCCTGGTCCTGTTAGATCTCTCAGCGGCTTTTGATACCATCGACCATGGTATCATGCTGCACCGGTTGGAAGAGTTGGGGGTGGGAGGCACCGTACTAAGGTGGTTCTCCTCCTTTCTCTCCGACCGGTCGCAGTCTGTGTTGACAGGGGGGCAGAGGTCGACCCCGAGGCCCCTCATATGTGGGGTGCCGCAGGGATGGATCCTCTCGCCCCTTTTGTTCAACATTTATGTAAAGCCGCTGGGCGAGATCATCCGTGGTTTTGGGGTGAAGCACCATCAGTACGCGGATGACACCCAGCTGTACATCTCCACCCCGGACCACCCCAACGATGCCCTTGAAGTGATGTCCCAGTGCCTGGAGGCCATACGGATCTGGATGGGGAGGAACAGGCTCAGGCTCAACCCATCCAAGACCGAGTGGCTGTGGTTTCCGACGTCCCGATATAGTCAGCTAATGCCATCGCTGACTATTGGGGGTGAATCATTGGCCCCCACGGATAGGGCTCGCAACTTGGGTGTCCTCCTGGATTCACGGCTGTCATTAGAAGAGCATGTGACGGCCGTGTCCGGGAGGATTTTTCATCAGGTTCGCCTGATTCGCCAGTTGCGTCCCTATCTAGATCGGGACTCCCTACACACAGTCACTCATGCCCTCGTTACTTCTCGTCTGGATTACTGCAACGCTCTCTACATGGGGCTCCCCTTGAGGTGCACTCGGAGGCTCCAACTGGCGCAGAGTGCGGCCGTGCGGGTAGTGATGGGAGTGACATGGAGTTCCCATGTGACACCTCTCCTGCGCGAGCTGCACTGGCTCCCGGTGGTCTTCCGAGTGCGCTTCAAGGTTCTGGTTATCACCTTCAAAGCGCTCCATGGCTTAGGACCTGGTTATTTACGGGACCGCCTGCTACCACCAATAGCCTCCCACCGGCCAGTACGCTCCCATAGAGAGGGGCTCCTCCGGGTGCCGTCGGCCAAACAATGTCGGCTGTCGGCCCCTAGGGGGAGAGCCTTCTCTGTGGAGGCACCTACGATTTGGAACGAGCTCCCCCCGGAGATACGTAGGATCCCGGATCTGCGCACCTTCCGCCGCGCGCTTAAGACCTTTCTATTTTATCAAGCTGGCCTGGCCTAAATCTTCCCCCTTTTTAAATGTGGAAATTTTAAATTTTTAAATTTTAAATTCGTCTTTTTATAGGGGTATGGGTAAGGCATTTTAAATTGGGGAGCCATTTTAGATTTAATTCTGTTTTAAACGTATTTTTAATTGTTTATATTGTATGTTTTTAACTTTGGCTGTTCACCGCCCCGAGTCCTTCGGGAGAGGGGGCGGTATAAAAATCTAATAAATAAATAAATAAATAAATAAATAAGAGCTGCTGCTATAGATGGAAATTTGTCATAGTCCATTCTGGTATCAGCAATGATAAGAATTTATTTATTGTTTGATTCTTGGGTAAGAATGTCAGAAGTGATGTAACAAATATATTGCTGAAGCAAAGATTATCTGGCTATCTTAGAATAGAAAACTAGGTAGTATTCATTTGTGAAATATTTTTAAATTCAGGAGTTGGAAAGTGCAACATAAATGAAACAGACTATATTGCAGATTATAGAACAATACCTCATGAGAATTATACTGTTTGTTCTTTTGCCGTAATCTACCTGATTTGTGAGAGAATCTTATGCCTGATGTTTTTGATAAATTTAGTAACAAAATAAGATATTTTGTTGCTAAAAGTGAAAAGCCAGCTTTCTTTTAGAAAAAAAAAATTCTGTATGAGCAACAGACACAACATTTTCTTAACAGCTTCGCATAAAGTCTAATAAATGTCCTCTCATTTCAGTTTGGTATTCATCCAATTGAAGATCTCTTCAAAGATTTGCAAGATGGTCGGAAGCTTTTGGAGCTCCTGGAAGGTCTTACAGGCCAAAAACTTGTATGTTTATATCTATCTACTACCTCAGATAATTTTGCAATGCTTCTGCATATAAAATTCATTATAAAATTAGTATTTGTGGACCTTGTACCTGTAAATATTTTATAATATTTTATAAACATATAAAGAATATATTTCAATTTGTGTAATTTGCTGATGTTTTAAATTTCTTTTTGACTTTCTCTTGTTTTTCCTAGCAAATGTCCCAAAAGATTTCACATATGTCCTCCCTTAATAGAAACTTGCAGTGACAACATTTTCCATTACTGTTCTTTTATTAATATATTTCATTGTATGAAATATTGTATACTGAATAAAAACATGGAGATATCAATTTAAATATGTCTAAAATATTTATAAAATATTTATATTAGTTATATTTGTTAAGGATATTGTTGTGTTACCAACCAGCAGAGTAAGTGCACAGAGAAACGGTACTGAGAGCAATGAATACAATACATACAAACTGGTTTAACAAAGCTTTTACTTTGTAGTGAAAAACAATTGCATAGTTTTTTAATCAATCCAAGTCTTTAGCCATTCAAATCAGTCCGAAGTTACAGATATCTTCTTACCATACAAACAGCAGTAGGTAATAAACAGCAATACAACGCTGGTAACAAATCATGATGGTAGAATATCCATCCACATCTTCACACACGACGGTAACAGTTCCAACCAGCAAAGTCAAGCAATAAGTCAAGCAACAATGACTATAGCTCGGCTCTCTCCTTATATACAGTTTACACTAGTAATTATCCACTTAAGATAAGTGGAGTCAGCAGTGCAATGACTCAACAGTACAATTAGGTTAATTGCAATCAGCAGTTAGTCAGCAGTCAGTTACAATGACTCATCAGAACAATTACTCAGCATTACATCTTAAAGTTACAGAATACATTTAAAGTGATAGAACACATATATTGCTTGGACAACTTGTTAGGCTTACACCATATCCTAACAATATTATTTCTGATTTTCAGATAACTGCGATAAAAATACAGTATCAGTGTGTTAATATATAGAATTGGATAATGAAATTTATAAAATATTCTCATATCAAAGTTCAAACTATTTTCAACTGCCTCTAGTGAACTCTATAGCTCTATAGCTAAACATATTCATATTCAAAAATAAGAGAGAACAGTTATTTTCATCATTATTAACCATTACATTTCATATATATATCAGGGGTGAAATGCTTCCGGTTCGGACCAGATCACCTGATCCGGTAGCGATGGAGGTGGGTGGTTTGGAGAACTGGTAGCAAAAATCCCTGCCCCCCCCCATTGCCCAGCTGAACCGTGCAATCATCAGAGGCTTTTTTTTTTAATTTTTAAAAGCATTTTTTCTACAACCTCTTTGGCCAAAAAAATGCTTTTAAAAGTAAAAAAAAAAGCCTCTGATGATCGCGCAGCTCAGCTGGGATCATCAGAGGCTTTTAAAAGCATTTTTTCTACAACCTCTTCGGCCAAAGAGGTTATAGAAAAAATGTTTTTAAAAGGAAAAAAAGCCTCTGCCGATCAGGCAAGTCAGCTGGGATTGTCAGAGGCTTTAAAAAGAAAAAGAAAGCCTCTACCGATAAGGCAAGCTAGCTGGGATTGTCAGAGGCTTTAAAAAGAAAAAGAAAGCCTCTACCGATAAGGCAAGCTAGCTGGGATTGTCAGAGGCTTTAAAAAAAAGAAAAGAAAGCCTCTGCTGATCAGGCAAGTCAGCTGGGATCATCAAAGGCTTTAAAAGCATTTTTTTTACAACCTCTTCAGCAGAAGAGGTTGTAGAAAAAATAGTTTTAAAAGTTAAAAAAAAAAAAAGTTGGCCACGGCCACTCAGTCATATTACCCCCCCAAGCCACACCCACAGAACCGGTAGTAACAAATTTTACATTTCACCACTGATATATATGTAATTTATATTTCACTGATAAAGAAATAAAGGGAGACTAGTATAGATCTAGTTCAAGTTATTTAGCTCTCATCAGCTAGCCATACCCTTACTTGGATTCAAACTTGGGCTGCCTGAATGTTAGGCAGTTGTATTAACCTCTGAGCCACAAGTTCTCCTCCCTTCATCAACTTGAGCCAGGGGAGAGATTAAGTGTTTTTCTATCAAGACACCTGGTCTACCACAGCATGTGATGTGGGAGGGAGCATACTGCATCCCTTTATATATACATACATACATTAATTCTACCACCACCCTTTTATCTTCCGCACTACATTTTCTGTCTTCATCTGATTCAAAAAAGTAGATTGTCTTATATGCAGCAAAATGTATAAAATACTAAGAGACTTTTCATAGATTAAACATATGTATAAATTGTAAATATAATTAAGATGAACATATATTTGAAAACTACAGTAGGTTTATCGGTTTTCCTAAAACAAATATACACATCTATTTTACTAACAAAATGTAGACAGAATTCTCTATATCTGATCATAGTTTGCATAAGTATAAAACCGGAAATATAGTTTTTCTCTATTTTTTTCAACATCATTCAATCATTTTTATGAAAGGAACTGACAAAACAGTTTGATTTAAACTTATAATGGAAGGAATGAAACTGATTTCATTTTACCACTCCCCTGATTCAATATAGTCACCAATAAATGCAATAGTGAATATATATAGTTAAAATAAGGATTTATGTTCTTTAAGTTCTTGTTGGTTGTTCTAAAGATGGTGTAAGCTTTCTGTCATAAACATATTAAATACATGAATGGTTTTTTAAAAATAATTGAAAATAGCTATTTATATTTATAGGGGAAAGAAAAGGGCTCCACTAGAGTTCATGCCTTGAACAATGTCAATAAAGCACTACAAATCTTGCAGAAAAATAATGTAAGTAATAATTTGCATGAATCTATAGTGCACACAGAGTTTTAAAAAACACAAGGCTGTTTCTGAAATACATTTCACGATTGATAAGATTCACAAAATCACATGAAATATGAGAGATCGAAGCATATGGCCTCAAACTACAATATGTTCAGGAAATGGTTTTAAAAACTGTTTATTCAATTTATATTTATAAAAATATATATTTATATTTCTGTTTTCCTATACATTCCATAAAATAGTTACTTTTTAATCTTTCATATTTAATGATGTACTGAAATACATTAGGCATTGTGAAATTATGTCAGAAAGCAGCTGCAGCTTTGAAGAGGTTAATGGGCCAATTTCTTATTTGTAACTACCTGAAAATTGTGTTTCAAATATCTTTTTGTTTAGTGGGGAATCTGTTATTCAATAGATAATAGATATTATCTATAATAATACATAGATATTAGACTTCCATATTGAACTTTCTTCATATAAAAGTGGAATCTGAAAAATCCACAATGATGTTGTAAAATTTGAAAAAGAAAACTGAAATAAAAGTCAAACCTGATAATATTGTTTATCCTTGAGACCAAAGTTCCTCTTCACATCAGCATCACAGAAATATTTCATTCTGGTAACAAATATTTCCTTAAGATGCTATATAATTGCTGATGCATAAAATATGTATAATGTGGATATATTAGCCTTGTCAGTTTTGTGTTGACAAGCTCTAGAACTGCGGGAGGGAGGAATAATGTATTAATAGAAAGTCTCAGGAAAATGTTTGCATGATACATGTAGTAAATGACTCCCTAGATGGATAAATAATTTGTCTCTAATGGAGAAATGTGAGTTTCTGATTGATGGGGCAGGAATATCAATGGAAATGTTAATTATAGATTAGGCAATACCCAGAGATCAAATAAGAAAATAATTTGGTTAGAATAATTAGTAATAGACCCAGAAATGAAGTATTGGCAAAAACATCGTCTAAGTATATGTGATAAAGTAAAGAAATATGGAAACATAATCCTGTTAGGGTAAGGTGACCAGACGTCCCGCTTTTGGTGGGACAGTCCCAATTTTTAGCAATTTGTCCTGCGTCCCGCAGCATTTAAAAAAGTCCCAATTTTTCATTCTGCCTCCTGAGTCCCGGCTGCCTCCTGAGTCCCAGCTGATGGCTAGAGGGAAAAAAAACTGTTTAAACTCTGCCGCGGGGCTTCAAAGGGCCGCCCTACAGCTGATCAGTGTTAAAAGAAAACAAATGAGTAGACTGATGGCTGCAAAAATAGAAAAAACAGCCCCTTACAGCTTCCGCATAGGTTCATTAGCACAAGTTGATTAGCTCAGCTTCCCCACTCTCAGCTGATTTGCTCTCAGCTGTTTTGCGCAGGGCTCTGTTCTGTTGCTGGCTGCAAAAAGTTCCTGGAGCAGATTTTTTTTCCCCTAGCTATGCTGAAAAGCGAAAGCGAAAGTAAAAAGCAGGGTCTTTGCTGCAACATGACAAAATGAGGCAGAGAGAGATTTCTTTTTCTTTTTCTTTTTCCTCACCAAAAAAGGTAGGTGCAAAACTGCAAACAATTGGAAATTTAGGGCAAAAGAGGAGAGTTCAAGATTTTAAAACACAAAAGAAAAAAAGTTCTATTTAACTAGGGAATTGTAATAATTGAGATACTATTAATTGTATATTGTGTTGAAAGCAGAAATGGTTAAGTTGTGGTTTGGAGGAATATATGGGGGAAATTATTTGGTTTATTATTATTGATAAATATAATTAATTGATTTGTAAGAAATTGGATTGCATGGAAATAATTGGAATATTCATGTTCATATTGATTAATATACAAAAAAGATAGTTATATAACTAATTGATTTATATTAAAATGTTGAATTTGTATTAAACAACTGTATTACATAATTACATAATTAACCAATGTGAGGATGGATATAAAAATAGATGACAATGGGAAGGGGTATAATATAGAATAGAAGGGAAAAATTGAATTTGATTAAGATTAGAGATGAGGATGAAGGGTAATATTGTTTTTTTTTTAAAAATAGATGAGGAATAAATATGGCAAAAAGGAAATATAGAAATTGTAAATTTAATTGAAATGACTAAACACTGTTTAAATTTGTGAACCAGCCAAATATTCTGTTCAAAGAAAATACATTGTATGTTTGTATGTGTGTTTCTAATTATTGCTATTTATTCATATTTGTTCTCTTTTATTCTTTAAAGTTTAACAATTCATTCTTTATCTTAATATCTTTATATTTGTTTGGGGTTGGCTTTCTTCCCTTTCATCTTTTTTATTGTACAGTAATCTTTCTCCTCAAACCTACCACCTCTCTCTTTTCTTTCCTTCTTACTTTTTCTTCCCCCCACCCTCTTCTTCTCCTCCCTACTTCCTGTTCCTTTCTCCTTCTCTTCCTCTCTTCCTCCCTCTCTTACTCTCACTCCTACTCTAATTTCCCTTCCCTTCCTTCATCCCTCTCTATTGCTGTATCCTTTTATGCATATGGACTACTCAGAGGGCTGAAAAAGTTATTTTTGACTGGTCCTCACACTTTTGACCAGTCCTCGAACTTACGACTGTCCTCACATTTTACATTTTTGCCCTATCTTGTCATCATGGTGAAGAGAAGCAATTGTGAAATGAGTGACATGGTTGTTAAGAATGCTGCACGGGCATAAATGTGAGGATGGTCATAAGTGTGAGGACCAGTCAAAAGTGCGAGGACCTGTCAGAAATGACTTTTTTCAGCCCTCTGAGTAGTCCCTATACACATAGCCATGGCCACCCGGTCACATGACCAGCTAGCCATGCCCACCCAGTCACATGACCTCCAAGCCACACCCACAAAATAAGCCATGCCCACAATGGTGTCCTTCTTTACCAATGTTAAAATCTGGTCACCTTATGTTAGGGAAATGTTTGGGGCAAAATTGTATGCATGTTGTTTGAGTTTTGAATGTTAATGGTGTGAAAATTAAATGGAAGACTCAAATGAAGGCGAATCTGCACATTTTATAAGTTGACACTTGTAGAAATATATCATCTCATAGAATCCTACTACTAGGACAGATAAATATGGGGGATTATAGATGAAGTATTCAAATAAAAATATGGTCAATTTTTTCTGGATTGAGAATTTATACAAAATAATATCTACAAAATCTTTACAAGGGAGATGATATAAAAATAAATATTTTCTATTAATCACAAATTAATGGAATGCCTATGTGTTATTTCTGCTTTTATTATTCCATTTCTTTTCTACATTTTCAGAATTATTATTAGTGGATTTTTAAAAAAATGCATATTATGAAAAGAGCTATAAATATAGTTGTTTCTGCAAGCTCTCTTTCACTATGTTGCCAAAACATTTTATTAAAAAGCATTTAATCATTTAAGTTCATGCAATAATATATTTTGCCATTCGCTTGGAAATATAAACTCATTTGCTTCTGGTTTATTACTTTTACTTTGCAAAGAAAAACATTTACATTTCTTAATTTCTATCTTTTATTCTGTTTTGTCTTGTTCTAACAGGTAGATCTGGTAAATATTGGCAGTATAGATATTGTGGATGGAAATCATAAATTGACCCTTGGATTGGTCTGGAGTATAATTCTGCACTGGCAGGTATCAAATGATTGTTTCTGGAAGAGCTGTAGGACGTATGAGTAATAAACAAAGGACACTAATGCAGCTCTTTATTTATAATTTATAAATTGTTAAATTTATGTAATTGCTCATTTTATTTCCATGATGCTGGGTGACTTACAAAGCTAAAAATAAAAAGCCCCCCCTCAAAAAAAAAGTAACAAGCACACATTAAAACATTTAAAAACATAATCTGTGGGAGAGCACCATTCATTTTTCTAATAATATAACCACTTTGGTGTCTCTACATCAATAAATCCCCAGGCCAGATGGCAAAACCATGTCTTCAGGGTCTTCAGGAACCAGTCTAACCTCAGAATAATGATGTTCCAAAGAAAAGATGCTCTGACAGAAAAGGCTCTAATCATTCATCCTTTTAGATGACATTGTGGATATCCTTTCTGCCATAAATGATGGGATATGTAGATGTAAATGGGGAAAAATCCATCAAGTACCCCAGCCCAATGCTTTATAGGGGTTTATAGTTCATTACTAGCACCTTACATTGAACCCAGAAGCAAACTAATCAGAAATGTATCTCACAGAGCAGAGGTGTAATGTGGCTGATTCATGTAGCTGTCTGCACTGCATGTAGCTGTCTGCACAGCCTCATTTTGTATCAGTTGAAGCTTCTGGATACAATTCAAGGGCAAACCCTTGTAGAGCACATTACAGTAATCCATGCAGGTGTGCAAGGCATGAGTGACTAATGTAGAGCCTCCATACCCAGAAATGGTTTCCTGGTGCACAACCTGAAATTGCTCAAAAGCCTTCCTAGCCATAATACTACCTTCTGTTTTGTGAGAGCAATTGTGAGATCAAAAGGATCATCAAACTGAGAACTGGATCTGTCAGGAGCAGTGCCACCTCATTCAGAACTGGTGAATGAGGTGAAGATGGTGAATTCTCAGAAACTAGTGACCCTAAAGCTAATATGACTTTTCCCAGCAGTTTCATGGAGTTCTTAAACATAAGTGTAGAAAATACTGAACCTTGTAGTACCATGCAAAGTAGGGTTTGAGACCAGGACCTCTCACTCCAGATCAACACTGACTGGAGTGTTGAGTCCTGCAAAGGAAGGAACAGCACATTACAATATAGATATTGTGCATAGAAATAATAAACTGACCCTTGGATTAGTTGGAATATAATTTTCCACTGGAATATAATTTTTGAAAGAGCTGTAGGATATATGGTTAATAATCAAATGACAGTAAAATAACTATTGAACTATAGACTTGCAGCAGAATGTTGATGAAACAAGGAATTTGGACTCTATTCTGCTATATTAAGGAATATACAAACATGGAATATCTGTTTTCTTTTTACTTTTATTAATTCCACCTTGAGAATTACTGCAATGTAAGATGCAAAAATGCAGTTCACCAAAGAGCAAAGTTCAGACATTCTCTAGTGGAATAGGACGTTTAGGCATTAACCCTTGGCTGTGCCTTCTTCACCCCAGCCACCCGCCTCAGCCAATTTACAACTTTCCTCCTCCGCTGCCCTACCCCAGTCATTCTCCATGGCCAATGGGCTCCCGGCCCTCCACCCCTTGCCCTTTGTCCCTGCCCAGTCTCCCAGATACCGTTTGATTTGGACCTTTGGCTGCACAGGACGAATATCCCCCTGCCAATCAGCTGGTGGGCAGCAGTGATGGTGCTGGGTGGTGACCAAGGGGATTGGGGGGGGCAGCATGCAATATGATCAGTAGCAGGCTGGGGGAGAGAGCAAGAGCTGTAGTGGTCCATAGCTGCTGGCATTGGGAGGGAAGGTGATGGTGTGTGGCTTCCCATTTTGACCACCACCACCCATTGCTTCTGCCCCTGGATTCCGACCCAAACAGGCAGTTCATCTTATTCCCAACCAGGAACCGTTGCCCTTCCCCCTGCAATTCCAGGAGCCATGCTCTGTCACCTTCCCCCAATGTCAGCAACTGCGCACCACTGCAGCTCTTGCTGTTTCCCCCAGCCACCTACCAATTGTATTGCACACTGCCTCCCCACAGCCCCTTTGGTTACCCCTCCCAGTGCCATTACTGCCACCCACCATCTAATTGGCTGGGAGCTATTTGTCCTGTGCAGTCAAAGGCCTGGGTCAAACGATGTCTGGGTGAATGGACAGGGATGAAGGGTGGGGGTGAAGGGCCAGGGACCCATTGGCCATGGAGAATGGCCTGGGCAGGGCCAGTGCAGGAGGAAAGCTGGCTGTAAATTGGCTGAGGCATGTGGCTGGGGGTGAAGAGGGTGCAGCTAAGGGTGGTGCCTAAACATCCTAGATCTGTGATGGCGAACCTATGGCACACATGCCAGAGGTGGCACGTAGCACCCTCTCTGATGGCACATGAGCTGTCGCTTCAGTTCAGCTCTGCTGAGCATGCGTGAGCGCCTCCCATCAGCCAGCTAGTCTTTGGGTCTCTGCCGTGCATGTGGGGCACTTGCGGGGAGAGCACGCACATGTGCAGGGGGCGGAGATGTGCAGGGGGGCATGCACAGGGATGAGGTACATGCACGGAGGCCGCACACGCATTTCATTTGGAGGGTTTGGGCGTGCAGCCACGCTTTGGGTACTCGGTCTGGAAAGGGTTAGCCATCACTGTCCTAGACCCTTCTCTACAGGTTATTATCAAATTGCCATTTTTATGTACCTCATAAATTATTAAACATATGGCAAATAATCAAATATATGGGAAGAAGTAATTTAATGAAAAAGCATTGTCATGATTCTGTCTATTTCACTTTTCTATTACCACTTGCATCAGGACTCTGACTCCCAATATATCAATCAGAGGAAAAGTGTATTATTCTTAAAAAACAAAGTTCTATATCACTGCTAAAACAAGCAAAAGTCCCATGAAAATAAAAACAAAATTATTTTACTTCTTAAAACTATATTTCATTCACATGATAAGTCTCAGTATTTTATTTTCTAACTAATGTGATAGTTTTAAGAGCCACAATATTAATAAGGCTGCTTCTCTAGAAACAAATCTTGATGTTTCCTTTCTATCCCTCTCTAACTCTCCATCATATGAATAGCCCCTAGATGTAAGGATATATGTAGGATTACTTTCATGTTACAGCATTATGTTTCTTGATATATGAAACCAAACTTTATGTTCCACAAATAAAAAAGCAATTTCCTCATGATCAGTTAGTAGATCTTGAATGTGGGAGGCAATATTGATCCATAGTTTATCCCCAGCAACACTTTCTAGACTAGAGCATTCAAAGCTCAAATTCTTGAATTCATTTTTGAAAGGCACATGTTTGTTATTGTTGAAGATAAAATTATTCCAAGTTTATATCTAGACCCATGTTTATAATTGCATTGATATTCTATTCATCAAACGTATTGAAATTAAAACATGTTTTATTTCTGCAACTTATAGTTTTACTGCACTAAATGTGTAGAAATAATTTATTTTATTTCAGTTTGCAAGATTCTCAGTAGAGAGCATTAGGCCCTATGAATAATTGGGCGGAGCCCCCCACCCCATGGCTAAAATGAAATTGAAAAAGATGGGTTTACAGAAGGGAAGTGGGTTGACTTCATAAACAAATATAGCTAATGTTGAAATTCTGTGTTGTAAACTAGGTAAAAAATGTTATGAAAAGCATCATGGCTGGACTGCAACAAACAAACAGTGAAAAGATCTTGTTAAGCTGGGTTCGTCAATCAACTCAGAACTATCCACAGGTCAATATTTTTAATTTCACCAATAGCTGGTCTGATGGTTTGGCTGTCAATGCACTCATACACAGTCACAGGTAGGAAAACTATTATAAATTCACCAGTAAATAAGCAATTTTCCTTATGGCTGTCTATCTTTGCTTCATTTTGTCTCTTTTCATGGTGTGTATGTGGTGTGTATACACTGTTAAACTACAAAGCATCCGGCATAAATGCCCTGTTCATAACAGAAACTAGGAAAAGCTTGATTTTTTAACAGCCGTTGCTGTACTAGTGAATTGATTCATTTTTCTGGAAACTGAATTCTAATAATTTCATACAAAATACACAGTCCCTGTTGGAGTTTACTTGTGTGGATTATAGTTAGTGAAGAATTAGCTTCAATCTGTAAGAAGAATGTATAGGACAATTGAACAGTCTATGTGCAACTGATTCGATTTTAGGATCCATATATATGCATAAAACCTTTCAATGGAGAATATTAGTATGTTTCTCCATGAACACCTTCAACAGCAGGACATATTGACACAATAGATTTAAGTGTTCTAATGTGGAAAGCTACACAAATTTGATAAAGTATTAGGATATATACATCCATTCATGCAGTGTAATGCAGTTGCAAGATTAATAGCAATATCAATAGCCAATCAAAATCTGCTTAACTTTACTCCAGGCATTTGGAGACAACATTTTATTTTTTTATTCTGAAATGTGTCTGTCAGTAGACACTGAATCAAGGCCACACCCTATGTATTTGTTTGAGATAGATATTACTTTAGCCACCAGAGTTTCAAACAGACCTTCACAGAGATACCCCTGAGGTCAAACTGGTGTGTATATACAATTGGGCAAGTTCTGAGGATAGATCTCAGATATATAGATTGAATTGTTTCTAGCATAGACATATTGTTGCATGTAGAGCTATCTATTCCATGCAACACAAAACTTAGGGCTTTAAGTAAAATGAATGGCGAAGGCATGCATGCATATGTATGCTTTTTATGGCATACATATCAGCATTAGACACTTTTGAAATTAAAATTCCTAACACAACTTAATATCTGATTACTGAAATGTTTACTGTAGTAGGTAAAGAACTAAAAGTAAATGCATATATACTTTTAATTTGAATTTCATTAATGTTCCATATATAAACATTTTCAATAAAAATGCAAAATAAAAATATTAAACTTTAAGCATTTTCATCCACTTGTGCTATGATTCTGTGATATCTCTCCAATGAAGCTTTGGCTTTTCCCCCTTCCCTTGACAATCATATCTTATTAAGCTAGAAAAAGATGCTTGTTTTTTTGCTCAGAAATATTAGATGAAGTCTAAGTTAAGAAATTTTATTTTAAACATTTTATTAGATTATAGAATAAAATAAAAAAATACAGAAGCAAATAGGAGGACACAGTGGGGAGGAGAAGGGAAAAGAAAAGTTGGGGGGGAGGGAGAAAAGAAAAAAAGTGTTGATTTCTGACTCTCTCTGTTGCAGTAGAATAAAGCATTAACATTGAACCTCAACTTTTTACTTTTCCATAATAATATAAACTAGCCATTTCTTTAACAACAAATCAATCTAATCAGTAAAACCCCAAATCAAACTTTCAGTTTTTTTCCACCACAAGCACGAAGTCCAGAAGCGGTCTCCATGTAGCAACAAAAATATTCACATTCTTTTCTTTGATCAAACAGTCAATTTAGCCATCTCTGCCAACTCCATCAGCTTCTGTAGCCATTTGTCCATGGTAGGAATTGAAATGTCCTTCCATTTTTGTGCATACAGTAGTTGTGATGACCCGGGGCATGGCACAAAGGCAACACAGACAGGAAATAAGTACAAGTCCCTTTATTAGCTCCAAACTTTGCCCCCAATGTCCCTTTACTCTTCGGTCTGGAGAAAAACCCTTTCACAAACCTGTAAGCAGACAAAACTTCCAACCATAATTCCAACAGGGCAAGATAAGGTAATTAATCCGGCAGGGCAAGCAAGATAAGGAATTCCAGAATTGAAGCAGCATGGCCGTAAATTAAACGAGTTGGGAGGATGCCAGGAACTTAGATAAAGCAGTCAACATGAACATGAACTCAGTGTTTGTTCCTGACAACCACCCCTCCCATTTGCCTCTCCTTTTAAACTCCAGCTCCAGGTGTATCTTGTGAAGGGGATCAGGACTCTTTCCTCTCTAATAAGCTCTCTTCTCTGTTCTTCCCTGCATGGCCTAGGATGAGGAGTGGGTGGGCTTTGGTCTTCATCAGAACCCCCTCTCCCTTGTTCTACCTCTCCCCTGCTCTGCCCAGCCTGACTTTACCCTTCCCCAGTTTCCTCCACAGCCAATGGAGCCACTCTCTCGCTCTCTGTCAGTTGTTCCTCTTCCATCTCAGAGTCAGACTCTGACAGGGGCATGACACTATCCCCCCCACAGGGCTCCCTCCCCCGGGACCATGCGGATGGGGATGCTGTGGAAACCGGGCGTGGAAGTCGCGGACCAGTCAAGGGACATGGACATCTGTGGCATCGACCCAGGTAAAGTCCTCCAGTCCATAACGTTTTCATGCCACCAGATACTGGAACCAGTCCCGCAATTGGCATGAATCTCAGATACTGTCCACTTCATATTCCACCTCTCTCAAAGGGGCTACTGGTCCCAGCGGTGGTGGCACTGGCCCATGCAGACTGTCTGCCGATACTGGGACTAACAAGGACTGATGAAAGACCAGGTGAATCCGCATGGTCCATGGCAGGGATAGGCGAAACACCACAGGATTGATCACCGCCTCGACCAGAAATAGTCCCAGGTAGCGGTGATTGAGTTTTTTTGATGACCGCGTCATCAGCAGATACCGTGTGGAGAGCCAAACTCAATTGCCTACAGCTAATGGTGGGACATCATGACAATGCCAGTCTGCAAAGCATTTGTAGTCCTCCTTGGCATTCTCCAGCTGGTGGTGGGCCATTTGATGCATGGCTTTTAGCTCTGGCAGAAATGTGTCCATGGCTGGAACCGGGGAGTCAAATGGAGCCAATGGAAAGAGCCGTGGATGGAAGCTGTAACTCGCAAAGAACAGGGACACGTGGGTGGATGCATGCTGAGCATTGTTGTAGGCGAACTCCGTCACAGCCAGCACCTCCACCCAATTGTCCTGTTGGGTGTTGCTGAAACAGCAGAGGTACTGTTCCAATGAACAGCATTCATTCCCTCTGTACCCCCATCAGTTTCAGGGTAATGGGCGGACAACAGACCATGCCTGTATTTGTAGTTCCATGAGTAAGGTCTGCCAAAAGCATGCTGTAAATTGCACCCACTGGTCTGACACTACTCAGTCCGGTAATCCATGCAACCGAAACACATGGGCAATGAATAACTCTTGATGACGAACCACCACAAACGGATCCTGCTGCTGTGCCTCTCTAATCCTACCCCAGAGGTCCATGGGCTCCTCAGTGGCTGCCAGCTGCTCCAATGGGATCACCGTCCAAGGCAGGATTTTGTCCTCTCTCTGGGTATACTCAGGCTTCCAGGACAGCACATCAGCATGCTGATTATGCCCACTTGGAACATAGTTTACCTGAAAGTCAAAGCGGGCAAAAAATGACCATTGCACCTGGCACTGGTTCAATGTCCGGGCTGTACATAAATGTTCCAGGTTGCGATGGTCTGTCCGAACCTCAACTTGGTGACGGGCCCCATCCAGATGGTACCGCCATGTCCCAAAGGTGACTTTAACCGCCAATAGCTTCTTGTCCCATATTGTGTAATTGCGCTCAGGAACCAACAGCTTCCGGGAATAGTACGCACATGGGAACAAGATGCCTGGGAGGGCATAGGCCTGTAGAAGCACTGCCCCAATGGCCACATCTGAGGCATCCATTTCTACCACGAATGGCTGGAATGGATCAGGGTGTTTGAGGATGGACTCGGAGGCGAAGGTGGCTTTTAGGGCATCAAAGGCTTCCTGCTCCTCAGCACCCCAATGGAACTTCTCCCCTTTCTTGAGCAGCATAGAAAGGGGAGCAGTCAAGGCAGCAAAGTGGGGAGTAAACGTGCGATAATAGTTCGCAAATCTCAACAGTCGCTGCACATGTTTGACCCGCTGTGGAGGACCCCACACCTGCAATGATTCAATTTTTTCCAGGTCCATTTCCATACTGGCAGGTGAAATATGATGACCCAGGAAGTTGATCATGGTTTGTGCAAACTGGCACTTCCCATGCTTAGCAAACAGGTGGTTGTCCCAAAAGCATTGCAACACCAGCCGCACCTGTTGCTAGTGTTCCTGCAGGGATGCCAAGTAGATCAAAATGTCATTTAGGTAAACGACCACAAACTGATCTAACAAGTCACAGAAGACGTCGTGCATAAAATGCATGAACACGGCAGGTGCATTGGTCAAGCTGAAAGGCATCACAGTATATTCAAAATGCCTTACCACATCCGGAAGGCCATCTTCCACTCATTGCCGGCATGAACTCGGACCAGGTTGTAGGTCCCCGCAGGTCCAGCTTCGTGAATATCTTAGCTTGACGAAGCCTCTCAATCAGTTCAGGGATGAGGGGAAGCAGGTACGAGTTCCATACTGTGATCACATTCAACTTGTGGTAGTCACAGCACAGGCACAGCTCCCCCAACTTCTTGATGAAGAGCACCGGCGCAGCCAATGGGGAGGTAGAAGGCCGGATAAACCTTTTCCAGAGATTCTTCTCGATAAAATTCCACAACGGAGCCAGCTCCGGTTCCAACAGTGAGTATATCTGGCCCACCGGCAATTTGGCAATTTGGCATCGGGCACCAAGTTGATCGGTCAGTCATATGACTGATGCGGGGGCAACTGATATGCCTCCTTTTCCCTGAACACATCAGCATAGTCCACCAATTCTGTAGGTAGATCCAGGTCCAGGGGCATAGCCACACCCCCTGCAAAGGTGTACAGGCAATGGGTGGCACACTTCTTGCTGGGGAACTATGCTCCAGATGACCAGACAATCTGCCCGTAACCACTCTAACCCCAGCACCACCAGAAAGTGATGTACTGTGGCAATGTAGAACATGGCTTCCTCCACATGCTGCCCAAT